AAACTTCATTTACCACAGCAACTGGGCCGCTAAATTCCCTTCTTTAAATTATGTAAAAATTTAGTAAATTGAAAATAAGCTGCAACAGCAACCCGTATTTTACAAGTTACACTAACTTGAACAATTTGTAAACCGTGACTGAACATGTGCAAACAACAAAGCCAACCTGCTGTTTGTCAGGCACATCAAAAAGATTAATCATAAATAATTTTACGTAGATTAATCAACAGAATTTCAACAATCACTTCATACCTATTTCTTCACCGTTCTAAATCTGCAACTTACACAAGTTCATTTCAACAGTAATCTACAGTGCTCAAACTAATGAGAACAGCAACAACAACAAAAGAAAGAGAAATTCTTGCGCATTTATAAGGTGTAATTGATACAAGTGAAAAAAAATCTTGCAACAAGAATAAAAAACTATGCCAAACTACAACGCATAAATCACCTTTTTATTTCTATGTCAAAAAAAAAAGAAAATAGATGAACAACCAACAAACATATCCTACTACGTATCTAACATATGATATTTCGTTTTATGCAAACAGCGCTCACTTAGTCCCCTTATCACCACTTAAAAAGTTCTTTCCTCCTAAACCCTGACATCGCTAAAGATATTTCAAAAAGTGCACAGAAAGCACATCGAACATTAATCTGCCTCATATGTGTAATTTAGCTATTTTTAATATTCTCAATGGATGAAGGTATTTTAGAGAGAAGACAAATAGGCTAAAGAACAGCCTAAGTGGCAATAAATCATCATCTATCAATTCTGATTGATGTTTAGCGCCCCCCACAAATATAAACATCATTTCATGTTGTTCTTGTTATCAACCAAAATTAAGATACTCAGGTCAGCAATTTTAAGAGTTACAAGAGAAAAACAGAATTGAGATCAAGCAACGGTTACCTATTATGATCGACGTACATACAAGCAGGCAGATAAGCTATCACACTAAACTTTGTGGTTGTAGTTTTATCCACATGTGACAATTCTAATATGACATAACAGAAATTTTCGGCACGGCTGAATTTTAAACAAAATATGTTCCTTCTTATATTAATAAAAAGGCACGATTCTAAAAGAAACCAAACAGAAATTTGAGGTAATTATATACATTAAACAATCGCTTGCAAAAGTTCTGATAAAATTTAATTTGTGCAAGAGCAAATATTTTCTAACTTGAGTCGTCGGAAACAATGCCTTTTAGACGCGAGAAAACCTGACCATTTTCTTCAATCATTTTCTCCCTTTCTGAATCACTGCTAGATGAAAATGTTTCAAGAAAAGCTCTCCGAGGTTTTCCTTCAGACTCCATTTGTCGTCGGCTTCCTCTGGTCACCCGTTTTGCTGCATTTGAAATAAAAATATAAAGAAAGAGAATTAAAAGCGATAAAAAAATAAATATAACAAAGCAAAATACTACTTGATTCAGCATCAATAATTTCGTTCTTCATTAACTCAGCTACTTCAGCTTCCTCTTCCTTCTTTAAACGGTATTCTTTACAAGCTTTCAAAGAAAACTCTGAAATAATTTATTTTACAAAAAAAAAAAAAGACCTAAGGCGAAATAGCAGAAACATTCCTGTAGCTTACACCAGAACAACTTTAGTCTAAGCTGAAACAGTAAAAATAAAGATTGAGCCACGAGAATGCGCTATTTAGTACGACTACAAGAAATGTTTAGAACCAGAACCTAAACTGTTTCCGAAATTAAAATCAAATAAAAGTTTACTTGTTACACCATGTTCTATCATAAAGTCCTTTAATATGCGATACTTCTTCGATTCACTTTTAATTCCTTCAAGCTGCTTGTATTTGAACCGAAGACCAGCAACGGCTGCAAGCCTTCTCATTCTTTTGAACCGAGACGATTCCTCACCTGTTTTTCGAACCTAGAAAGTGTGAGGTGGGGCAAATAAGTCGGAATTTCACAGTAAGAAATAAGTGAATCAGAAGCCGAAGCTAATACATGTGCTCCCCAACAGTATACCTGTCCTCTTGAAACTCTGGTCACACAAAGTACTTATATTAAACAATTTTAACCTCAAAAAATCAACGAAACCTACAGTTTTAGACTGCCCGGTTGACTTTTTTTCGTTTTTTGGAGAGTCGTCCCTGCAAACATTAACTAAGTGACCAAAAACTGAACACAGGAAACCAAATGTAATATTAAAGTACAAACATTAAACATCTAAGCAAAAATCCTTTTTTTTATCGTAACATCAAGTAATCATGTGCTTTACAGGTTATTGTGCCATAACCTGATTCAAAACAAAAGGCTGTTAAACTCGCAGTCGAAAATTTCCTCGAGAGAAAGTGTAACGAAACAGACCCCTGACGTCACTTGTCAGAGTAATAATTATTGAATAATACATTGAGCTCCCAAGACTTGTAAAAGAATTTCGCGCAGCCACCAAGAATTCTTTTTTACAAGCTGTGGAACACCCACTAGAGTAGCTTCCATCTCCGACTACTTTGAAAAACTATTTAGACCACAAATAAATAAAATTCTGCAACAATGACAGTCAAATGGCGAATACATTGCGAATAAACTATATGAGGCAATCTTGCTTTTGGAGGGCTCAAATTACTGGTCGATCTGGAGTGACACAGAAAGCCAACAGCTTTTGCACAACGGCAGACGGTGATACTCACTGTCTACCCTTAAACTAAGTCTTCGAAAGCTTCTTAGCGTCGTTTCAAATCCTTAAAATAGTTTTCAAATTTTTAACACTTTATTTTTCATCCTTAATGAGTAGAGCTAAAGGCCTTCAAAAGATTTCCCAAATTAAGAAAGTAGACCCTCTTTCGCAAACCAATTAATTCTCTTATAAAACGGCGCGATCCCTGTGCGTCTCCTACCAGTTGTTACATCGATAAAACGTCATTCGTTAAAGTACATCAGATCAGTCGGACAATCCAACTTTGGATTTGGCGACCTAACGCACAAAAGCATAAAAGTTTTCGTACGATGACAAGCTTTCGCTCGACGAGTCCTTCTTCTCCGTTGAACACTCTTTAGTTCCCTCTACGTCATCAGTAATTCCCTTATTCTCTGTTACTGAACTTTCCTTCTCTGATGCTGTTTCCCCACTTGAATCTGGCGATTTCTCCTTGGGAAGTGGTTCTTCTAAATATTACCAAATCCTGATTAATCATCTCTATACGCTTTCAACACTTAAAAACACACTGATTTATACAACAAAATATTCACCAGTTCTCCGAATTGTAAAAACGTCTAAAATCTTAAAGCAACATTTGCTCAGAGCTAACTGCTCAAAGATCCATAAACCGCTAAGAAGACTTGACACTTGAAAACTCTTTTGATCCAAGTACAAAATACCAAAGATAAAATTATACAACTTGCAACAAACGCAACTAACCGTTTTCAGGATCCGAATCTTGTGACGCCTTTTCAAGGCAAGGTCGTTTGAGCTCGTCACCCTCCCTACATAAAACAACACTAATAATCAGTCCGTACACAACAAATAAACAAAAAACACAAAGAAAAAACACTGTATCGATACAGGCCTCCTCAATACAATACAATAACAACATGCAAGTTTAAGATGTGGTACGAATAAAACAAATAAAATAATTACGTTGAAACTTCCCCAGAACGTTTCATTTTTTTGGCTAGTAAATTTTCGTTATCGCTTTCTTCACTCGACATTGTTGACTGTCCTAAAAAAGTTTTCTCCCGACATTTTATTAATACAACATTAACTGAAATCTAACTGCTTTACTCATTTCCTAAACAACGTACAGGTCTTTTCTAGTTCAGAGGCGCCCTACGCAATTCACGACTTAAAATGGTCAATAACTTCCAAATGATTTTCCTGAAAAATAAAAATTTTCTAACTTCTGAAAACTGCAAGCAAATAACTGAACAAACAGTCTGACAGATCACTAAACGGTGGTCCATTAAACTGCACCCGCCCCAAAACAAGTTTTTTACCATCAACCAGCATTCACTTTCCCTATGAGGTTCTCGGTTCCTTCTGACTCATTATTAAAAGACTTAGACTTCATTGCGCATTTCCTGCTAACTTTCCAACCACCTAGTCTTATGCAGTTTCACAAAGCTACTTCTCCACTGACTCGTGGTTAAACGAAGAGCGACTACGTTCTTTAACCTCATAACTTTAGAACTGCGCGCTGCTTCAGATGTACTTCTGTTGCTGTTACAATGAGCAAGTGTTCCCGAAACATTCGGGAATTTAAAGTTATTCTCCTTTTGTTCATGAAAGTACATTCGTTTTTAAACTTACAGTTAAATATGCCTTCCTAACCAATTACTGTAAGAAATGTGGAAGCATAATGTCGATGAATCAATGCCAGAGAAGTGACAGGTTCAAACGAGTCTACAAGCGCCGTAAAAGTGATGGAAGGTAAATGTTCTATTCCTCAGCAACAGTGCGTGAAAACCAATTATCTTAAAGATGACGGCTTTTTCAAAAAAATATTTTAGCACTCGCTTCTTGTGGTTAGAGAAGCTTCCTTTAAAATCAGTTACTAAAATTTTCTTCACATATGTATATGAAAAAAATTTGTTTCAGGAAGCCTTCACCAACAGTTCTTTCATAACCTCATACAGCAAATCAAGGAGATGTGTGTATACAGCTAAAACGCTATGACTACATCAGTATTTTTGGCAGACCAAAAATGGGCCGCTTGAAAAGTGAACTTACACCTTCCAAATTTTAAGGCCTTGGACGCCTAATGCAGTCAGTACTTGTTACATTACACTCTACCAAAAGGTCACAGTTACAAAACGCTACGAGCATTAAAATGAAACTGCAGTACTGAGCCTTTAGAAAACGAGCAAGAAGTGCAGAGAAAGGCTTGAAACTACTACAGATAAATCAAGCTGAATTGAGAAACAAATATTCAAGGAGTGAATGTAGGTTGACGGTAAGAAAAGCATGCTTGGCAGTAGGCACGTTGGACTGCAATAAGGCTGATCACTCTTCCCGGTCTACTTCATTTTGAAAAACCAATATTAATTTTTTTAGATCGGTTGGTAGTACTGGAAATCTTTTGCACTGAACCAGCCTCTTTCCAGTTTTTTTTTTTTTTTTTTTTTCTTAGAGAAATAGGATTGCATACTGCGCCGCTGAAAAGAAAGCGCTAGAACACTCATCAAAGATAAAAATTCTGAATACGCATAATAACCCATTTTAACTTCCCCACAAGCTTCCTATCAAAAACAGACTCTATGCCGACCCTATCCTTTATTTGAGCAAATATAACACCTATATTTCCGCACCACTCAAACACTTTCTGGCAATACCTTTTATACACTGCTACCTCCATGCCGATCCGCACATATAGATCTCTGCAGTAGTAACAGCTATGGAACAAAACCAGACGTAAGGCGCTCATGTTGCGCATCCTTTAAACAGACAGGAGTAGCACAACCTGGCTTTTCTCAAATTAGGCATTGCGGTCCGCCTCTGAGTTAAACGTTCAAATGTCTATCCCTACCCCCTACTTCAGTTTCTGGGCAGTCTTTCATTTCTGCTGTGTCAAGAGCGTTTCTTGGAAAATGTCCCTCCCTGTATGCTCACCAAAAAGGACGATTTTTTTACTAAAGCAGATTCACCATGAAATCTATGAAACATGTGCAGCTTTTGCCCTGCATGGAGTTCAGGCAAGCGGCGCTACTGGCACGAATATAAGAAAACTTCTTTAATCTCAAGTCTCCATAAACATTAAACAGCGGCATTTTATGCTACTATAGAATGAAAATGCCCCTCACATTGCCAAGCAAAGCGCTTCAATCGTAGGAATAAAGAAAAACCTGTGATATTAAAAGGTGCTATGATATATCTGCAGAGAGGAATCCACTTCTAAACTTTCTCAATTTTCTCCTCTAGATTGACAATTTTTCTCCGTTGTCCTCCTGATAGGTATCGGATACAAATTTCAATTACATTTTGCAACTATGGTCAGAACCATCGTAATCTTCATATATTGATATATAATTCAGTTTTTTTTTTTTACAAGAGTAGGGAGAGCGAAGGGTTTTCAGAATGCGTGCGATCAGTCTGCTTAAGGACCTCACAGAGTGACGGTACAAGGAGCTTTGTGAAGGAGAAGAAGAGTGCATTCGCTCAAATTCTTTCAGTTCAGTTTCTAAATCCAAAGCCTCAGTCTAGGTTTTTCGAAATAGCTTGCAAAATTCCTCAGTGACCTTGAGCTTTGTTTCACTCAATCTATTCTATCTTCCACTGTAGTAAACCCAGCAGAGTAAGTCAAGGATACTTGACAGAGTTATACCGTTCAAACTTGCACCGTCGTTACATGACATGGCTCTTCTTGAACTGCGTTACAGTTTGTCTTTCAATGAGACATGAATTTTTCGTGCTACTGTAAAAGCTAAAAGCTAGTTGTCGACATCACAAAAAGGGACAATCAGAAAAAAAATTTCTGATAAACGGAAAACGCCGCCAAGTTTATCGTTTTTTTAAAAGAAGAAATCTAATTGCTAAAAGTGATGCCAGCAAAGTGGGATGCGTTAAGGAACTGAGATTTTGAAAAACTAAGGCAACGAAGTACATCAGATGGGTACTCAGTTCTTTCTAACTGCGGCAAATGTTTTAAATCTCTGCTACTCTGTAAATACCACGCGTACAACAGCGCGCGCGATAGGGGTCTCTCGCGTAAATCGGTGTTGTCGCAGTAGCCGACTTTTTTTGTCGAGTCACTCATTATATCAAACAGCTAGTCAGAGGACTGACCGGGAGATTTTTAAGAACGGAGAAATTTTGAGAGAAAAAGTGCAACTTGACACGAGAGGCGAAGAGGGACGGGGACACAAAATAGGAAGCGAAGGTTTGGAAGTTCCTCCTGCACTGCGTGAAATAAAAAAAATTGGCAAGACCAGCTGACGAACAGAATAAGAAAACTGTAAAGTAACGACCTGGCCGTGGTATTAAAGCAAACTCAAATAACCGGGACGTTAAATATACGACTTCGATATTTACGACGGAACTGGAAATACGATCAAAACAGCACCAAAAAAAAGTAACAAGGATCTTTAAGAAGCAAAGCAAAGCACGAAAACATCTGGACAATAACTGCCATGAAATTCTGTTGCAGTTTAACAGTGAAAAACGATGATTAATTTTAACTGGTTATAATTCTTCAGTATTTTTGTCTTATTCGTTCTGACTGCTAATTTCGAAAATGGTTTATGCAGCTCTAACAGACAAAAGTTTTCTCAGCAGAAAAATTCAAGAACTGTGCATCATCTAACACTGTTTACTGCCATTATGAACAAAATCCACAACTCACTACTCAAATAAAATTGTATTTTTTGTTTCTTACATATGTGTCATAATTTCCTAAATTTTCCGCTGTTATTGAGAGCCTCATAACTATTTTTCTAAGCAGCAGTCGCACAGTTTTCTATCTACTTCTAAACTAGTGAATGGAATACTTCATGTTACATTTAAAGGGAAATATAAGTTTGATGAACATCAGGGAACACCACTTACATAAGCTAGACAATTTATGTACAACGTGTAGCCATCAAGTTTTCCTCTCTTAAGTTGTTCTTTGATGAACAAAGCAATCGATTATTTTTGGTGTCGGCTACTGGATAAAACATATTTCTGGATTACTACAAGAATTTGTCTGTTCTGTTTAAGCCATTTTATTCCGTTTTCTGATGATCAGAAGTTCGAGCCCTTAACATATTAAACTTCTAAAATTGTCGTTAATTACTTGACTGCTGTAAAACTTAGCTACGAGAAAATTAATAATGACAACAGAACGAAAGTAATGATATGGAGCAACTTATAGTCAGTTTCATTTCTAATTGTATTGCCAAAAATACGAGCGGGAAAGTGCCCTTGTTTTCTGAACGGCTCCAGCAGCTTTGGCGCAGTGCCAGTGTAAAGAAGTACCTCTACGTTGAGCTAGCGGACTTCGGAAAGGTATACAAAACTTTTGTATTACACGTGTATATGAGGTGTAACAAGGAGCTTTTGTTTATCAGTTTTTAACCTCTTCGTTTTCGGAATTTCATGCTTTTTGACCTCCATTCTGCCGAGATTTTAGCAGAAATGTAAGAGCGTTTTCGTTTTTTTACACATTACTTTTTGACCTAATTACCTTAATAACTCAGTTAGTTGTGAGGAAACAGCTGTCATTTTCTCATGTAGGATTCTGCGTAGTTAAGAGTTATAGAATATGTGAAAAAAATATAGGG